GTTTCAAGGCAGCAGATGAATTGTGAAAGAGACCAACTAAGGGTAGGTACATCAGATTGAAATCCCTTCCCCTCTCTCATTTCTGTTTAATAAGCAAAATGTTTTTCATGTTCACCGGAGACACTGAGTTCTGAATACTGAGCTGCAACTTCTGTCTTGTAGAGATGAAAATATTTATCCCAGCTAATTTACTATTGATTGGTATGGCAAATATAGTATATCTTGTTTTGAATTGCCATTATAGTAGATGTGGATTTTTTGATTTAGATTCAGCAATAAATACTTCTCTTAACGGAATTTGTGGGACGTCACTGTATTCTTTTTATGTACAACATGAAGTCTAAGTAATAACAAAGGTCAGAAGAATGTCTAGCCATTTTCTTAACGTGCACATTGAGTTGTTTGCTGAGTGGCTAAAATATCATTTTATTCCTATCTGTGCTAGGCATTCAGCTGATATGTCAAGGGCATTTTCTCGAAGGATTCAGTACTCTTTCGGAAGGCCTCTTTAGGTTAGTGACGTTTGTGAATATGGAGGAAGGAGATGAAGCTTTTAAACTTGGTCTTTGGATTTGGTCATTCTGAAGTCTATTTTCCAATTCAGTTGGATATGAAGGCTTTTCCACTTTATGTGAGCATTTGGGTACCCTCTTTTGGTTTGACAAGTTTAATGACGATAGGCCTCAGTTAGATATAATCAATAAAATGTTTCTACTTAATTGTTCTATAACCTGCCATAAGACATGTATTCATAACATTCAGAAATCAGAGGTCTCTTACTCCATACAAAACCTTTAGAACCAAACTGTTGTGTGGCAGTACCTCACATACTAAGTTTCAACTTATAAACATGGATTCAAGCCCACCTCCAATGCATACTGGCTGTTTGACCCTACGTAAGTAACTGAACTTCTTGGTGTCTATGGGCAGCTTTCTAAGACTATGAGCAGAGCATTCACCTCTCTGCACTGGTGGTGTGGTGGGAGTTTGAGAGACCAGGATAGGACTTGTCACTGGAAATTTTCTATACCTATGAAATCTTCTTTCTCTAGATGCTTGCCACCACTCTGAAATTACATGTTATGCCTTGACTCTTTCATTTTTTTAAAAGTACTACTCAGAGTACTCATATGATTTAGCCAAGGTGGGTTAGCTCCTTTTCCTTCTGAACAAATCATGGACTTCTTTCAATTTCATCATCACTTTTCAGACCAGGCTTTATTAATATCTGACCAAAAAACAAAACAACAATCCAAAATTGAAGTCATTCCACTAATACTAAGAATTAAGACCACGTCCTTCCTCATCCATATCCTTTCGATTAACCTTTTTACATCCGCCCACTACTAAGTAGCTGTGTGTGTGTGTGTGTGTGTGTGTGTGTGTGTGTGTATGTGTTTACATCAGTTGTGACTAGTATATGAAAGAGCCTTCAAAATGCTTTAAGCTTTTCCAGGACTCCCTTGTTGCTTCTCCCTGCTGTCTGAATCACTGGTTCGTCCTGGTAAATAATGCATTACAAGCATTACAACTTCAGATTTTTGTTCCTGTTAGGATAGAGGACACTGGTCAGATCTGGGTCAGAGCTCGATAAGGAGTTATCTTTGCTTTCGTTTTAATGAGTCACTAATAATTCCACAGAATTAAGATACCTTGAAATGTGTCATCCAAATGAACTCTGGGCTCATCAGATATAACATAAAATGGGTGAGCAGTATAAATGAATGCTGGGGTCTTTAGGAGCTGTCAGTTGTGAGGGCTAGAAATTTGGTCTTTCCAAATGGCTGTGGCTTCAATTTCCAGGACTGTCATCTATATCTTTGCCTCTTCTGTCGTCTCTGCATCACACTAAATTAATTGAGTGATACTATTAATTAAGTTAGGCAGCCAGTCAACTCAACCAATTAAGTATTTAAGTGCAAAGCACTTTGCTAGACTGCTGAAGATACGAAGATAAAAGCAAAATCATCCCTGACCTCAAAGAGCTTGTATTTTACTAGAGATTTCAACAAGACAGATAGATCTGAACAGATATTTGGCAGAATAGAATACTCAATTTAATGAAAATCATAATGCCAGTCAACCCATACACTTGGCTCACAGGCTGGTACTTTTTTGTTCAAAATAAAATGCCTTATCTTTGAGACACAAAGCAGGACTATTTTGTCTAAAAATATCGAAGATAGATATGACACATATAAATGCCAATGTAAAACAATGCCTTTTCTCATTGAGAATTTTTCTGATATTGCTTATTTTTCCAATTTTCTGATGGAAATCTTGATCTCAAATGATTGATGTGTATATCTCAATAGGGTATACTTTCCCTTATTTCTGTTTTAGAGGGGAAGCAAGTGATTTGGTTAGCAAAGATATTTAAGAGTGTCTGCCTGCCAGCCATGATTCTTAAAATATATGTATTTTTAAATACAGCAGTCAAAATACATTTTCAGAATTGCTGTGCAGGATGACTGAATTATGGCAGTGTTGTCAAGTTTAGAATTCCTTGATTAGCACATTCTGTCCTGCTATTAGGAACCAGAAATTAATGTGACTACTATTATAATTAACCTCCTTTATTTGTCCAATTAGAAAGAGGAAACTGCAGTAATAGAGGCACCTTTCCTGCCCGTGATACCCTCTGCTGAGATCCTAGTTTTTCTGTATTCCTTTTGCTCCCTGTTTTGTTGCCCCTACAACACTACAAAAGGAAACTTACTAGTCCTTGATTTTATAGGGAATCATAAATGCTGATTCTCCCTCCAGAATCTGCCAATAGAAATAGGGATTCCTTGCTGCCATGGAAAGTGTGTGTGTGTATGACTTTGAGTGTGTTTGGAGGAGGGGAGGAGAATGTGCAAAAGAGACAGTCAGCTGTTAGAAGCACTGGTGTGAAAGGAAGACACTTCACAACTCTATTTTCAAAGCAGTAGGCCTGATCTTGCTGGGGAGAAGGGAGTCAAAAAGCTCATTGTGAAAGCTGCATATTAATTCTTGGCCCCAAGAGTTAATAATTTTGCTTGCCAAATGGTACTAAGACAGTGAGCTAATTTGTGCCAAAGTGGTCTGGTAGAATTAATAATGCACTCCCTAAGGGAGACCACTTACAGGGCATCTCAGAACTGATATTCCACATCCCAGATTTTTGAAATAAGTCTAATTGTTCAATATCCATATGGTTCTTCTGTCCTTCCATTTCTTTGCTTTGGTTGAAAATTGAGTGAAATTGGGTGCCACACATACACATCCATGGATATTTTTTGCATTGCTTGGCTTCACATAAGGAGAAGTTCCTGGTATTCTTTTGAGACAAGTGAGTGTCTGTGTGCTGTGTGCTGGGTGGCTCTGTAGCTGGATAGCTCATTTGGTTAGAGCACCCTGCTAATGAGGCCAAGTTGGTGGGTTTGCTCCCCCTGGGGCTAATTAGAGAAGCTGTTTCATGGTCATAGACTGTATCCCCAACCCTGCCTAGCCATCTGGAAAATGCATGCTATGGATTCTAAAGAGGAGTAGCAGGTCAGGGACCATAGATGGAACACTGTACATCCATCCCCTGTACTGGAAAACAGAAACAGAAACAAAAACAACCAATTAGAAAGCCAGCAACTACAGTAAGATAAAGCATAGGTCAAGTTGATGGGACAGAAATGTGTTCAAAAGCCAGCTCAGACTGTTAATGGCTAGGTGCTATTCTGCTTAGGGAACAGCCCTGGAAAACAGCCTACATCTTGCACTGTCCCAACCCATGAAAGATCTGGCGGAGCATATCTACAGTATCAATATTTAATTTGCCAGTTAGAAGCTAGTTTCTCATTTCTGCTAGATAGAAGAGTAATGTGAGTTACAAAATGCAAATTGCTAATGATAATATTCACTTACATAATGCCTTTCATCCAGGCATCAGATAATTAAGCCTCCCAACAGCCTTGGGAGGGAGATAAGAGAATCACAGGCATCAGTTCCCTCTTTATTAAAATTCAGACCTGCCTTGGGGGAGTCACCACCCTTACTAGTTTAGGGACGCCTGGCTGGGCAATCTAGCAGTTTAGGAGAGGACCACGACTTCTGGAAATTGTATTAAAGTGCCCCTTTGTTTGCTTGCTTGCTTGCTTTCGGTGCTTTGCTGGCATTTAGCACTGGAAGTCCAGGTGGTCCCCACTTTATAAATGTTTTATTCCAAAAATCCACTGATTAATTATATGGAATGAATTTTATCATAGAGCTCCAGTAGATATGATCTTATTAGTGTGGGCACTACTTCTGTTGTAATGAGTCATAACCCATACCTACCTGCCTATCTTCTACATCTCTTGTTCATGTCCCTCCATAAATCCCTCCTCCTTTTCCTCCTCCTCCAAAAGTGCTGAAGACCTTCCTCATATGAGTAGCAATAGCACATGCAATCTATTCGTCAGTCATTACTTGTTCTCCCCACGTGACCAGCCTTTCTCACTTTCTAGCCCTACTTTGTTGATAATGTTATTTGCGTAGTTTCTCTTGCATTAATAAGGTATTGCAGCTTGTTCACATATGTCATACATATTCCCAGGGGAGTCCACAAAAGTCTATTTAATCCATTGGTTGGTTGGTTGTTCTCCTTCATTCTCCAAGAGGACCAAAATGACATCACTATGTTAGAGTCAAGTTACAGTGTGTCCAACGGTGGCTGATCAAACCCATGTGAGCTCAGAATGTTCTACCATAGGACGGGCATAAATAGTTCATGTGAACATTTGAGGGGGATTCTCAGAATTTGTGCATCTCTCATTTCTTTTGAACCACTTCAATTCTGCTTTGCTCATAGAGCACAGCAGCACCTTCTCTGATGAGAGCATGCCATTCTAGGTGGTCCTGCGCCACTGTCTCCCATGTCACACAATCAATTCCAAAGTTCTCTAGGGAGATCTTGAGAATGTCCTTGTATTGCTTCTTCTGACCACCATGTGAATACTTGCCTTGTTCTCTATGAAATGGTCTTTTAGGCAAGAGTACATTTGGCATTCGATTTAACCAATAGTGTCTCTTTCAAGTACAATGCTGTA